TGGCAGGAGAGGCTACGCAATCAAGCTTGCAATGGTATCGGTGTTGGGGGCGGTTCTTTGGAAAGGAGTGGAAAGAAAGGAAACACTCCTCTTCCTAGAGCATCCCCAGGTTGTGCTATGATCACTCCATCATCATTCTGTCCCCATGGCTAAAACTCTCTCTTTTGTTTGCATCCTTTCTCTGCCCCATCTGCCTGCATCAGCAGGTCAGTGCTGTGACTCCAGAGCAGCATTTACTGATGGGACTGCAGAAAGAACAGGAATGTTTCCCTTGACCTCAGATGCTCACAAAAGTCAGCTTGAAGAGCTCATCCTTTTCCTATGAAACACTGGCAAGACAAGAGATTCCATTACAGGATCTTTCTCTGCCGAWGGATTTCAGCATTCTTAAGATTATTCTATGTAATGATTCAATTAAAATTCAAAATACAACTGTATTTTGATTTTTTAAACATTCTTCTTCCTAACATATTTGCAGACATCACCATGGTTCTCACGTGTCTGCCATAGGATAAAGAAAATTGAGTACTTTTGATTCAAGCCTTCAACTATATTTAACCAGTTATTATTGAACTCTGATTTTACTACCTTTATTCCACAGGCCCACTTATTTSCCTCTAAATGAACACATCATCCTCTAAATGGAGACACAAATCTTCATGACAGCAGCTCCAACTACTTTTCTACTGGCAGCAAACAGATTAATTAGTTTCAGAAAGAAATGAGGGAATTTGCTTCCCGATGGAGGTATCAAAGCTTGGCATCTATATTGAGGAAAGTACCCAAAATCTGTTGGCCGCTGTTTGTCACTCCATTCTTGGTACTATCTTGTCCCAAGTGGAGCATGAGAAGGGAAAGGCTGTATAAAAACAGCCGCTCTCAGGATCCCTCTTCTCAGGTACTTCCCATAGGACGTAAAGGTGGCCAGGTTAGTGGCACTGACTGACTTCCAGTCACCCAAACGAGTGCTGACACATTGGCAGAATATCTTAAATATCCATGAATTTCAGGTGGGAGGGTGCACAGTGCTTGGAAAACGGCACTAGCAGCAAATTCACCATGGAGCACCAAGCAAGGAAGAGGCCAGTCTGACCCCAATCCTCAGTATTCCGGCAGCTCCCAAACCACATCCCACTGGGCAGTTAAGGGGTTCATCTTTGAAGCAGAGGACATGGGCTGTCAATTCTTGGCAGTTACGTGAGGAAAAGAGCCCCCGGGCTCGAGAGGGGAGGAAGATGCTGCAGCAACCGGCCACCGAGACGCCACCACCGGGCACCCCACGGCCCAGGCGGCCCGGGACGCGTCACCGGTGGGATCCCAGCGGGGTGACGGCCCCCAGAGGCGAGAGGGACACTGGATTGAGGCTGGAACGGGCGTGCTTGGAGAGAGCGGCCTCCTCCTCGCGTGTCTCCTCGGCGGCGCGTAGACGCTCCACCTGCTGGAGGCCAAGGGCCAAGGGCCGGGGCCGCCGCTTGGCTTCCAGCCTCGAGTGCCACCTGCTGAACCGCCGGAGCTGCCGGGGTCTGGAGACGCGGCCTCGGTGGGAAGAAACGCGGCCAAACGGGAGAGATTCTGATTGCGTTAAGGGTGACGCTGAAGTGTGTCACGCTGGTAACTGTGTCATGGACTACCCCCAAAGGACCGCGTGTTTGTGGAGGAAAAGGAGAAAAGCCTCCAGCTGCAAGCCAACATTTCACTCAAAAAAAAAGATATTTTATATATATATGTATGTGTGTGTGTGTGACTGCTTTTTTTTTTTATAGCACGTATTTTCAAAGCAGTGACGTGCAAAACACAGACAAATGTTATGCTGAGGTCTGTGAYAAGGAAACCACAGAGATCAACATGATTTCAAAGGGAAGCCCATGGATTCTGCGCATAGGCCATCTCGCCGATAATTTCTGTTCAAGGGCTACAAGGTACTATTCTATTAAAGCAAAACCATTAGGCACCTTCGCCTTAGCTCCTGCAATACGGTGATTATTAATATTGAAATAGTAGCAYGAGCGTTTCTCCGGTGAAATGCATCATTCTGAAAGCACCGGCATTTGTTCACCAGACACGGCGAATCCTGCCCTGCTTCCTTGCTCTGCCTCATGGTGGAAAAAGCAAAAAGCTTTCAGTTTTTAGCCCCACAGTGCATTTAGTTGAGGCGGCATTTTGCAGTTGCAGCAAAACCAAGCCACCATTCATCACTATCCTTTTGAGACTTGTTTTAAGAGGCGGGGTGAAGAAGTGAAAGCGCTCGTTGTATTTCAGACAAGGCGGGGAGAAAGAAAAAAGATGCAATCTTTTTCTCTCCACGTTTTCTTAATATACATTTCTACAGAAAGGTGGAACTTTTTGACTATTGATCTTGCTTATAAGTCGGGCTGTAGCGATTGACAAAGATTTTTTTAAGTGCCAAAATGCATCCAAATATCATATGGGAACACTGTATAAAACATAGCACTTAAAGATAAAAAGGAGAAAAAAAAAAACACTAGTGGGAAGGATGAGTCAGACACAAGCTGATGATGCCTCCCTTGGTCTAATCAACCTGGCTACTTTATATATTCAACAAACAAAAAAGCAAATAAAAGCCAAACCTATCATCCAACTGCAACAAATAAAACCCATCCCAACCCAATCCAACTACCAAAACCAGAAGGGCGCCTTTCCACCCGATGAAAATCATTTTGGGGAGACTGTAATGAATGGAGGTGCCTGTCCAGAAACCACCACCTAGCCAGAAAATCTGTCCTAGGTCCTAGGGGACTGTCACGCTCCCGCACATCCCGCCGGCAACACCAGCGTCTTTAGGCTCCCATCTGGACAGTGCCATCTGGAACACACAGGAAATAACATCCCCTTCTTAGGAAGTGTTAATAGGTCCCGCGGCACCTCACAAGGAAGAAAAGCACCGTTCCCGTTTGTGTGGGGATAGATCCACCACAGGCTGTTTCTATGGGATAAATGCCTCTAATTTTCTTGGCATAAATGTTTTTGGCTTAACTTATATAACATGTATCACTACTTTGATATGATACAGCCCAGAATGGTTTGATTGACGGGATTTTAGGAGACTGGCTTCTCCATTTGAACTTAAAGGGACTTGATGCTGCCGAGCTCAATTCTTTCCTCCTGCTCATTCGGTGAGAACAACTCGGAGCCTCTGCAGCCTCTTTCCAGTTCCACTGGAGACGCRGGAAGCACCAGGCGCTTCCTTTAGCACTTCTGGAACTGTTGGCACAACTAAAGGCAGAGAGAAGGGCAAAATACACCAAATAAACTCCACCAAATAAACCTCACAGCTGAGCTTTGCAAAGCCCGGCTCCCCGAGCTCATGGAGCCGCAGCCTCTGGTGCGGGCAGCAGCCCTGCTTGCGCAGACCTGCGCTTCACACCCATGCCGAGGAAAACTCACCCCAAATCCGTTGGCRGACATTTGTCACTCCCTTCTTGGTACTATCTTGTCCCAAGTGGAGCKTGAGAAGGGAAAGGCCGTGTAAAAACAGCTGCTCCCAGGATCCCCCTTCTCAGGTACTTCCCATAGGACACAAAGGCGGCCAGGTTAGTGGCACTCCCTGCACAAGGACGGTTTGTTGGGGGAGACACTTCACCACCAGCTTCACTGTTGGTCCAAGAAGTTTAGAGGGGGTTGCAGAGCAGAGGCATCTCTGCCAGCAGAGTAAACATGTCCCGACAGAGCCAGTTAAGAGTTTAATTACAGAGATGGTGTTTCGAGAAGGAATACGAACAACAAAGAGGAGCATCAAGGATCAGGAACATGCTGAGGATGGGACAGAATGCTCTCAGGCAGGAGAGGACAATCTCTTGTCATGCAAGAGCAATACAGAGATCTAGGTGACTAAATACGACAAATAATAATTTTAAGCGGAAGAAAAAATATATATCTAACTACATCCAAAATTATGGCAGTCTATGTTAAGTCCTAAATGCATTACAAGCTATGGTTGAAAAGAACTCCAAGCAGTTTTAAATAACGGTGAATCACAAAGGTGAAAGAATCACTGCATGAGGTAATTTTGTACTGAACCGAAAATTATCTTGCGGTGCTGCTGGATTCTTTAGCATACATAAAAAAAATCCTTTCAGTTTCTTCTATTTACAGCAGTTTTACAAGGAGAAATTCAACATTAGGAACAAATCAGGAGTTTATTAAAAAGCAAGGTGGGTTGTTCTTTCCCAGCAAATAAATAAGCACCGGGCACGAGAGGCTCCTGTCATAACTGGCAGATTTTAATTTGGGATTAACTAGCAGCACCCAAAACAAAATAAAATAAAATAAAACAAAACAAAAAGTGCTGGTAAAGCCTTTCATGCAGCTAGTAAGATGAACCAATCTGGAAAACTAATTGAGGTTAAAATTTCTCAACAACAAAAAATCTGGTGACTTTCAACTTGGAGTATTTTCTTTGTAGATGGAAAGCAGCAGTACAGGAGCAAGCCCAATGTTTTGTTTGGTTTTTTTGACAGCARCATCAACACAAGGCGATCAAGAAACCACAGCCTCCAATCTTCTTGTTTTGGTGTCGTGAAGGACAAAATAACGAGAAACCTCCGCACAACCGGCTAACTGCAGAACGTATTTATTTCATCAGTTTTAAATTAAGAACATTTGATGACTCGTTTTTTGGCATATGTACGCAGCACATTCAGCGTAACTACACAAAACTCGTAACTTTAAAGTGTTCCATTTCATTCCTATCAAATGTGGTTTGACACAAATTGAGGGGAAAAAAAACCAATGAAACACGTTATCAGTAAATACTTCTATTGTCATAATGTAAAAAATTAGAAATCTAAAATGGTGTGACAAGCTATATAGTTGATTAAATGTGAATACAGTGCGTCTTTGTGGATAGTCAGAAGAATCAAATGTAATAAAAAAGTTTTATCTAGTTGCAAATCTACAGTTTGAGGGTAACAAATCACTGCGAATCAACCTCTTAATAAAAATCCTTTATCTACCACTTACTGTAACTGGTAATTTACATAACTTTGAAACCTGCGTCATGATTCAAATCAGCAACGTAAGAAAGAACTCACTATCCACACTTGAAACAATATAAAGYTGCAAAGTTTCAGACAACAAAACACAAACTTGTAGAATAGCTGTATTTTAAGAAATAGGTGGTAAAAATGCATGCTGCTGTAAAATCCAAGTTTAGCCTGCSTATTTTTCAACCTACTGGGTAAAAGCCCAATGATTTCAGAATCCTTTTGGGTAGGTGCATTATTATTTCTATTATGGGCCCCCGGGAATTAAGCCATGAGCTTTAGGACTTGTATTTAATTCAGAGGATTTTGTCTGAGGAAGAGGCAAGAGAAGTCAGCTCAGCTATGTAATTATGATCCACTGGAGCAGGGGAGCCCACATGAACAGGGATCCCCGAGCCGGGAATAGACGGCAACTGCATTCTGCACAGATCCAAGGAAAAGCCTGGAGAAGTCAAAGCAGTTAAACCTAACAATGAAATTTGGCGTCGTTTTGTCCACCCTCACGTTTAAGCACAGTTCAGTGCTTGCAATGGACGAGCTTGGATTCATGAAKGGATGGGTTTTGAACTAATGTAACTGCAGGCAAATGGGTATAGTCATGATTCCTGAAAGCACGCTGAAGAAAACAGCAAGTGCAGATTTAATTCCCTCCTTTATTTCTCAGGACAAAGAGGTGAGGGTTTCCTGGAATGCCCATCTTTTTTTTTCCTAAGAAAATATAGTAGTCGGGCAATCCCAACTCTGTCTCACCCAGGACCTGGACTACACTGTTGTGTATTTCAGAATTTGTTAGTCAAAATCCTGAATGGAGAGGAATTCTGAAATCCTAAATTGAGAGGAATTCTGAAACAAGCCTGACCTTTGACACGTGAAGAGGCAAAGCTCAAGGCAAATCATCCTGTGGCAATAACACACAGGTAAAAGCAAACGTGCAGGTGACAGCAAGAGAAACACAAAAGAGGAATGACAATTGGGGAAAGAAAGGGGAAAACAGCACTCTCCTCCCTCTGCTGGGCTTCTCCCATCCCTTTCTTCCGCCCTTCTGAGGGCGTTGTCCAAGCAGCCGATTATAAAACTCATTTTTTAAATGCAGCTGGAACAGGAACAGTCTCTGTTTGAAGGCCAGGACAGCAGGTTGAAGCAAAGCTGAGCCTTTCCGGACAGGGCTTGGAGGGCAGGCAGGGCACCGGGGCCCTGCCTCGCGCTGGGGCCCGAGGGGAGGCCAAGGTGACCGGCTGTCACCTCGGGGCCACACGGGCCGCTACCTGTGGCCTGGACACGTACCCCAGCCCAGCAGGGCACCTCGCGGGCCGCACGGCCGGCCCCTCCGGCCTGAAGCACYGGCGCTGGAGGCAGCGGCCACGAAACGTACAAAGCAGCAAAGTCCACTAATACTCTGCGTTACGGAGCAGAAATGGGAGAGCATGGTTCACTCCACCCCAAAAGAACGACTTACAGTTAATATATTACAAATTGAGAGATAATATATAAAAAGTTCAGGGGTATCATACCGCTTCGAAAGAGTCACAGCCTATCAGTATAAAGGAAGAATATAAAACTATTTTATTGACCACTGTTCACCAGTATTTACAATAAAGTAAACAATATACAGTCTGATAACATTCAAATTACTACAAAGTTAGTTTTCACCTGGTCTTCCTGGAACCAAGCGATACCAAATACTAAAAAGAATAATTCTACAGGTTTAAAGGGCTAGGTTGGGGTAAAGAAGATACATGCACATCAATAGTATAGAAGACTACAAAACATCTGTGAGGTTGTTTAGACATTCATTATGATTCAGTAATAACTATGGAAGTTTATGAATGTTTTATAAAAGCTTTTACCTAATATGGAGGAAGTAGTAGTATCAAATGCTCTCTTGTGATAAATGAAACAAGTTGCAGAAAGCTTTTATTTACTCGCTGTTGATGCAAAACACACTACTACAAAAAAATATCAAATTTGATTCTTGTTAGAATGTATGCTTCTCACATTGCTAATAAATCAAATTTGGGGTTTTAATATTCATATATATAAAAAAGCAATGCAAACAATTATTGTGCTTCATCTTCTGGGCACGAATGCCAAGTTAGCCGCTCTTCATAAAAAGCGATTACGATCTGAGGACACTTCACGTTAGCTTCTTTGGCCAGCACCAGATCTGCCTCATCAGAGTCTTTCCTGATGTAGGAGAGAGCAGGATGAAAAATAAATAAATAAATGCGCTGTCATTAATTCGGCAACTAATTGTTACTCTGTGGTTCTTTAATTTCTTTTTAGCTGCTAATGGTTTTTCAAGGAAGCATAAATATTGGTATAAATTTAGCAGCTCTTCACGGGCCATAAATTCTGAAAAGAATCTCCGTTAGRAAGCAGTTTTCAGTACACTTCTCGCCATGTCTACCAAGGATTTCCAAGCTAACAGAAAGGCTTCATAGTTGTATCTTCCTTCCCTTCCTGTTTCTTTTCAGATTCAGAGGAAAATGCTATCCAAAGGAATTTAGAAAGCTGCCAACTACAGTAGGTAATGAAAGAATTTTATCCCTCCAAGCATAATTAAAACTTGGAAGGAAGTCTTTTGAAATTAATAGYATCCAACTTAAGGGGTGATTATTTCCTGTTAACGCACGTAACTTGCTGTATTTCATACTACTATTCCTGATGCCGTCTTCAGGTAACAATTTCTGACCTGATGGGCTTCAGGCTCCATTTCAAAGCCTAAGGCTGATCTTATACGTGAGCTTTGTGACTCCACACTGACCGACTGACCGTAGCCCACAGTCAACGACGAAGAGAGGAATCAACCGCTAAACTGAACAAAACATAAATGCCCCCTCTGTATGTTGGCCTTGGTGTCCTATTCTTCCAGTTCCCACAACAGAAATTTCAAATAGTCACAATCTACATTTTGCAGCTAAGTTCAACAAAATATTAGAGATTTTGAAAACACAGAAAGACAGAATCTTCCAAGTAACTAACCCTAGCAGTCCAGACGGGTTACAGGATCAACCAAGTTTCTGAAGACTGCTCAATTTGMCTCCATTCCAAGTCAGAGGCCATCGTTCTTCTTCAGCATCCTGCCACCCTGAGAAACCTGACCCCCAGCAAACTCCCTCCAGCAAATTCAGTCTCCCCTGTGTTCTGAACACTAGGGGGAAAAGTCTTAAACGTTATCCTGCTTGTTCATRGGGTAGAGACAAGGGGTTTTCTGTAAGCACCACAGCAGAAGAAACCCATCTCCTCCTACCCTCCCAACCCTGCAAACTCCCCATCACTTCCTCTTCTAACAGATCCGTAGGGATAAACCACTCCTCCCTACTGCTCATTCTTCAGCGCAACTTCAGCTTCTTCCACTGACCTCTTCCTATTCCCTATCCATACGGATGTGTGAAAAACACCATGGATGTCTAAAACCTACGTACCTATTGAGGTGGCTTCTGCTTTGTGAGACGTGCATAACGGGAGCCCCACCTGCCATTCCCTTAGCAAGAACACTAGTGAGAGCCCATCTTTTCCATACACGTGCTATTTTTTCTATACCTATTAGAATTTACTTTTCAAATTTCTACTTCTTCAAAATGTAACTTACTTTTATATACTTCTGTATTAAAGTTTAACAAGTTGCTTTGTTTCTGSAAGAAAGGAGCACGTACTGCATGGCCAGGCAAGCTTTGCTTTTCTAAGAACACCAGGTTAATAAGCTGAGCAGCAGCTTCTCTCTTGCTACTGAAACAGAGCAGCCTCCTCCCAGCCTCAGAGCTGCTGCCTCTCCTCCCTTACTGGGGCCAGAGCCATCACCATAGAACTCACCATTTCATGAGGAACATAAGCTCTCCACTGCTATCCGTAGCCCCAATTATCCGCTCCGGATCAAGACCCCTTGCAAACCCTCTTGGTTTATCAACCTGTTGGGTTAAGTTGAAAGAAGATACCTAACTTAGCATGAAACTGTTTTGGCACTTGATATATGCATTCACACAAGCACATATGTATCACAACAAAGTGAAATACAGTCCTACATAATTATAAAGGATACAGTAATTGGATATATCATTTCAGAAAAGTAACAATTTTTTTTTTATTACTGATCTTCAGACCAAGTCATTTAGATGTGCAGTAAAAATAAAGCTATTTTACAAAAATGCACCTAGCATTTTTTTTTCTGAAAACTCAGTAAAAGAAACAAATGGTCTTAAATCCTTATAGCAATGAACTTGTGTGGCTATTACGAACAGGAGGAAGGGGCAAAGCAAAAGCATACTCCTGAAAGTGGGATAAACATCCTTTTCACCAAAAGAAAACCCTTGGGCTGGCTTAAATTGATTCTTAAACTGCATTCATAGGGAGCATCTCAGCCATTCTTGGCTAAGATGAGATTTGTATTAAGAAATATAGTGACTATTTCCTGAATTATTTCCTATAGTTCTGCAATATCCTTTTTGGGGCAGTAACCACTATTGTACCAGATGAGGCCACACAATTGACTTTATGCAGAGACTCAAGTATTACATACACTATTCACCAACCAYTTCTTCTGATGCTTTCCAGCATCATCTTTTTGGAAGGGGAACACACACTGGACAGCTGTCTTCAGTAAGACAATGGCCTTACTAAACCACTGACATTGCCAACTACATCCTTTCCAAATCACTAGTTTGGGAGTTTACAGAGCAAAACCAACCAGTGAACACATAGAGTGCCTTATTTTGCACTTACTGGCACTGAATTTCTCATGCTGTTCACTCATTTAAAGTGCAGGAGTAGCCTGGACCTTTAAGAAAAGGCCCTGCTGGTCTCATCTCACCCTTTCCCTCTCTGCCACCTCCTCTCCTAGGCTAAGTAACTGTCTGCTCTTGGCATTCTGCCATCTAGTCTTTCACCTCACATCAGACATAGGTTTAATGTGAAACACAGTACTGAATTTTGGCTTATTCCACTCACGAATCTTATGCTCTAATACAAACTTCCTATTTAATACTGGTCACTAATATATTGAACTCTTAGTCTTACTTTCGATCATTCAGAAAGTGTCGTGAAACAGTTTAAAAACCCCATGTAAAATGAGGACAGTCAGTTGCCTTTATCCACCACCGTGGCAGTTTTCTGAGCCCCATGAACACTTCCTTTCCAGCCCATAGTTCTAGGTGTTGTGCTATTTCGTGCTATTCTGGCACTTTTAAGCTCATGTCTGGTCTAATKCTCCAAGTCCCAGTAGATTTCTGAGGGGAGGACAACGAGGTAGGAGCACAGGAGAAGCCAGTACCCAGCAAATCAACATATACTTACAGAATCACGTTTTTTCTTTGATTTACTATCATCGGATTCGCTATCTGACAAAGATTTTCTTTTGGAACCATCTGTTTTCTCTTTACCAGCCTTCTGTGAGTTCAGAAAAGCTTCGATGAGCTCTGGGCAGTCTAGGTTYTCTTCCGGCTCCCATGTGTTGTCAGCACTGAAACACAGGTACATTGATGCAAAACTAAGGGAAGGAGACAAACGTAAACACAGCCACATGGCCTACCTCAGGCAAATCACCTTTCCTCATTATGGAAGGCAGACTTCATTAACATGGGAATGCTTATCTTACCATCTTCATTAACCTTTCAGCCATCAAATGCAACACATGTAGAAACAAGCTCTGCTATTGTTGGGGACCAATTTTCTTAAACTGGAGACACAAAATAAGCAGCCCAATTAACTCCTGTGATGTTGGGGGGAGGCAAAATAAACAACCTTCACTCCATCAGAACCTACTTGTCTATTTAAATTGACTCCCTTCCTGGTAAAAAAAAAAAAAAGCAAGCAAGCAACAACAAAAAACCCTCAAAAGACTGATCACACTAACAAACTATATGGTAAGAGCACTGTTTATTTAAGACTGAGGTTCTCAGGAGGAGAACCCAACACAAGCAGCCTCCATATTCGAAGCTCCCAGAGGTTGTCTCCCAGCACGGAGCTCAGCTATACGATGAGGCCGCGGCGTGGCCCTCCCCGGGGCTCCCTGGGAGGCTCCGTGGCCAGAGCTGAGCAGGGCAGAGGCTCCCCTGGGCTCTTGCTGGTTAAACATGTAAGAGGTTCCCAAGCTCTTCTCCCTGCTGCTTACGTATTTCCCGTGCACAAATACTGTTACAACGTCACTGCTGAGCACTGGGATGCCCACGGATTATTTTCAGTTACTGCAACATTTTTATACCTTCATATCAGACCATCAAGAACTACATGAAACCCACTGGTGTTTAAACCGCTATCACTACCTGGGCTTCAGGCTAGAAGGCAGTCACCTCGGGAGGTAATCATAGGACTGGCTACCTGGCGAGTTACATTCAAACACCAGGTCATATAAACATTTAATTCATCCCCTTCTTCTCACTGGTATAGGGTAGCCCTGCCAGAAACTGGCGGGAGAAGGCACCACCAYGTGCCCTCAAGTCCCCTGGAAGATGTCCCTGAACACAATGTGCTCCTTTAGGCCTTGGGAAAGAGGCCTCTTGGTTCACGTGCAACGAAAGCAACCATGCCATGAAATCCCTTATAAACGCGGAGCTAATTTGGGGAGCAGTGCAGAGAACAGAATTATCTGTCCCAAACTCACCTTTCCAGATGTGCCTACTATTGGAAATCCCAGCAAACTTTCTTACTCAGAAATAACATCCATTCCATGACCCTCAACACAAACATATAAATTCCAACAGCTTCCATGCCAGCTTTCTTTGATAGATACTGACGCAATCTACATCAAGGAACGGGATCAGYGGAACTATCACCAAGGCCTCATTAAAAGTCGTGGAACTTTATGAAGGACAAAGTSTAAGGCTACACATTTCCTATTTCAGTTTTGATTGCCTCACCTGAATACACATTTTGGATTTCCTTCTCTTACATTGTTTAAAATACTCCTCCATCATACAACRCTCCCCTCCATGCCATTATTTAGATATTTTTACACATTGTAGTAGGAAATATTTAGCATTCTACCAGAAAAAAAAAACAATAATGGGCAACAGCTTACTCTGTAAATCCTTTCCACTTCAAGTAGTATTCCACCTTTCCATTCACAACACGTCTGTCCAGGACTTTCTCCACAACAAATTCTTCAGGCTCAGCCTCCTCAATTTTTTTACCTTTGCCATTCTGTTTCTTTCCCATTTTGTGCTAAAAAAAAAAAAAAGAAAAAAAGAAAAAAATCAAAATGACATTATTCAGTCTTTTTTTTTCACTTTACCTACTGGCCAAATCCAACTTTGCTCAGTAAACAGCAAAGATTCATGTATTTATTCCCACTACAGCCAGAAGCTCAGACTCCTTTTAGGTTAGTGCATGAGGTCAAGTAACCTGAGCCAGATACGTTAAAGTTTTTTTTTTTTTTATTGTTCCTTTTTTTTTTTGTCAGGTGCTTAATGAGATACCCAGCACTTAATACCAGTTTTTAAAAAGGCGAACTATTTTTGTCCACACAGTCTATGCCTCCATTCCGCTTACAAATTCAGTGCTCAGAGTGTTACATGCTCAAAAACGTACAAAGCTTCTAGAAGCTACGGCTATGCCTGTGGAAAGGCAGAGGGCAAGGAACAGCGTAAGGCAGAAGTAAAGAAAAGTGATAAGGGAACTGTGAAAATGCATAAAACAGAAAGGGATGCTACTCAAAAGGTGGTGGTTACTACCATTTCCTTTCCAAAAAAAAAAAAAAAAAATAAAAGAGAAGCTGATGGGAGAAAAGTTTAGGGTATATTGCTATAATGAACAAAATACTCAACAATATCTGGTAAGGGTTGTCAATAGGGTGCAATGCTACGGAGCCCTCCGTTACTGCAGGCCCCTCTCATCCTGAGCCATGCACCAACGTAACTCACGTGGGGAGAGATGTCACAGAGGTGCATAAAATTCAGACAGCTACACTTTAAGTAAAGTACTTAACATGTAAATGAAGATTTGCTAACTTAAAAAAAAATATACACTTTAGAAGTGGTTTAAGTTTACATTTGATACTCCGAATAATATTCTTAAAATAAGTATTACATCCACATCATCCTCAAGGCATTCCCAGTTTAATAAGGCAAATTAAATGTAATAGAAGGACACATTTCCAAATTTCTGTTTGTGATCTTAAGAAGGCTGAAGCACATCTAGGATGTTGCCCTATCACGTTTCTGGAGCACTACAAGAGCAGCAGCAGTTTGGTTGCCATTTTGCACTGCTCCTTATAGGGAAATTGTTTAAAATGGCAGCCATAAAGTATTGGGAGCAGCATTAAACTCGTAAAATGTGCAGTCCTGCAGCACCCTAAACTGGAGCAGACAGAGCTCCTTCCTTACCAACAYGTTTCCTACGGAACCAAACGAGACAAGCAAGCATCACAGATCACCTCCGCTCGCTTTATGGTGTTTTTCGCGTCCTGCTCGGAACTGACGTGTGTCAGCTTGCAATGCAGCAAAGCCACTGGAAAATACATGASATCTGTAGGCTTCGCACAATTTGGTCTCGGTGTAGTAAAGGTTAAAAACAAAAGTCTGCCAGACACAAAGTCAGCAATCATCTTTTTCTGAAATGGAGATAAAAAGTGATTCTTGATCACTGCGCCCAATCTCTGTGCCCTTTTCTGTTCATAATTAGCTTTTCTTCTCCTTTCCAAACACAGCTTTACACCAGTTAGCAACTCCTAGGTGGAAGGTGCAAACAAAGAAAGACAAGGAAAGGTCTCACATTTCGCTTTCAGGCAGCAAGTGTCTGCATATGATTATATCTTGGGTGGCATTTGTTTTGATTTGGGAGTATGACAGACATTATTTAAAGCAGGGAATATATTTCCGATTAGATCTGAGCTGGCTGCCTAGCCCTGGAGTATTCCGAGCACAGTACTGAAGTCTGAAGAGCGTCTGCTTGATCACACTGGCTTTTTTTGCCTCCGAAGGAAGATGAACATAATGCTGAAATTAAAGCAAAATAAAACTATGAAGATGGCCAACCACTTTATGGAAGCAACTTCTTTAAAGAAAAGGAAGCGTGAAAGATGAGGAATGGTGGAGATTATGAAAAAAGAAGAGAAATAAAGAATGACACAGACTCAGTATACCATAGGAATAAGCTTATAGTTCTGGATAATTCTGCGATGAGGCAAGCAGGCCACAGATGCAAAGCTTCCTATGGATGTTCTCCTTTGGCCTCAGTATTTGCTTTCTTTCAGTGCAAGATGAACTGTTTCCACAAATGGTTTTCAGCATCACTCATTCTTGTCACTTAAGGTACATGCTTTGGACTTCTAGATCAAAATAACTTTTTTTTTTTGGCTTTCCAAGGTTAAGTATCTTCCATAAAAGAAAAAAAAAATGAGTGTGGTAAGAAATAATGAATTTGAGGGTGTGAGTTTTTTAAGATATTAAAGATCTAATTAGGTCTCTTGTGCATCAGCATTTTGTTTCTAAGTCTTCTTAGGCCTCTCCAAACTGTTAAAATAACAGTTGATTCCACAGCTTGCAGAAATACTGAGTAACTGTTAAAAAAACGTATGTTCTGAGATCATACAAGTCAATGTAGGTCTCAGCCTACAAATTAACATTACTCCTGACTTAGTCTAAAGGCTAGAAGCTTCACTAGACCCCTACAAGRCCCCTTCTTTGGGGTTCCATGTTCTAGAGCATCGCGTGGACACCTGAACACCCATCTGTGGCTTAATTCTCTCCCTCAATTCACAAGTCGCACGTGAGATCCGGATTTTCCTCAGTGGATAACCACGCTTTTCCCGAGGGTAGGATGTTAACACTTGACGTAGCGTTGCGGTAAAGGCGCCCAACACGCACGAGGCAGGAAAATCGGAACGAGGCTTCCAGAGCTACGTTCGCTCGTCCTCACCACGCTCAGGTTTCGCATGCAGATACACAACCAAGCAGAATTAGTGACGGTTCCCATGGGAACCGCAACTGGTTTCCCTGACCTGTGCCGCAAAACTCCCCAAAACACGGAAAAGAGCAAAAATCCTGTGTTCACGGGTGCTCTCCTCTCCCTGCAGCCTCCCCCCGCCGCCCACACTGGGCAGGCCCTTCCATCCTCAAATCAGGGAGAAATGGACAATCAGTTACTAAAGAAAGTTCAGATATTCACATTGGGGAAAGTGCTATGATGGYCTCTTGCAGTGAAATGCAAAGCAAGTACTCCACAGTGCTTATAAGACAGGAGTTACTACGTGTGTGTAGAAGATATCTTAATCTGTGTCAATTAGTAATGATGTTAGTGTACTTAATAGACCATTTTAGGACATTACAGAGCAAATCTTCTGYTCTCCAAAGGTTACGCCGTATGTATTCTTGCCTACTTCCCCGACTCTACCTCAGAGGCCTCTCACACCACGTTTTTTCAGATCTATCTCTACAAATACATGTATTAGAGTAGTTGAATGGCAATTAAAGCAATTTATCCAGCAACCAACTGCCCTTAAATGTCTGTAATTTAATGTCAAGCAAAGCTTTACAGGGACGTGAGATCCACGAATGCATCATTAAAATGGTCCAGAAGGGGATGACATCTGAGAATCTCTGCTCCTATGAAATTCAAAGAAACTGTTATTTGTTAAAAAATCATTTCAAGAGGCATCTTAACTAGGCCACATCATTTCCCAATGTTATTTTTCATCAGTAAGGGGATTCTCTTTACTCAATCCATTTCCCTGAACAGCCTGGGTAAAAATAAATGAATATATGCATCTGACTTTACCTTTACATATATGATGAGCTACACAGTGTGCTGAAGGARGCTAAAAAAATCCTTAGTGTTTTCTACAATAGCGCACACAAAAATGGTGCATGGTCCTTGATTTTCCCAGCCCCCTCTCCAAAGTCTCAGTATAAATGACAGATTTGTTAAAGCCAAAGATAATGTCCTTTCTGGTAGCCTTACTTTCTGGATCTGAAATTTTGGTCAGAATAATGCTGGGGAGGGGAGATGTGGATGTATCTTTCAAATGGAGATGCCAAGTTATCAGTTTGAAGAAAAAAATGTTGATTAAATCCTTACATACTTCAGGTGTGCATGAACTTACCAATGTAGTTTTATTGGAGGCCATTTTTATTGCAGACTTGCAGAGCTTTTACTAGAAAAATGCATGACAATTAAAAGGAAGTTGACATTACTCAAAGAAAGGCATCCCAACACAAGCATGGTCCTTGTTCCAACCCCCATGTACTCGCTGCACACAACATTTCTAGGAGGGACTCAATCCAGAACAAAAAGTAGGTTACTACTTTGTCCAGCGTAACCCAGTAACACACGTTAGGCTGGCCAGGATACACRATACCGACACTGAGGTGTTTTAAAAAAACGGCTTTCCCGAGGCCTCAGGAGGCCCGGGGATGTTCCAGGGAGAAGGGGGAGGACCATCAGGGATGCGAACTGCCCTAAACGCCATCGGGCTGCGCTGCCAGCGGTTACCGGAGACAGCCGGGCGCGGGAACGTGCCGGGCTCGCCTCCCGCTCCGCAGAGCCGCGCTCCCGGCCCAGCTCTAACGTCGCCTCCCGACGCTCGAGCGCGGCGGGCGGCGGCTGCCGGCGCGGGGGCCCTGCCCGGCCGGGCCGCCCCCATCCC